CCTCAAATGTTCACATTTGAGTTTTTAAGAAGGTATTACCTCTTCACTGTAGACACAGAAAGCTGCATTTCCTAGTGACAGACTGTGAAAAGTCATGTGTGATTAAATGAGATGGACAACAAAATTGTATTTTCTTCTTTTCTCTGTATAGTGAACATATCATTTCTCACTTGTCTACCAAGAATATATAAAATTAAATATTGCCTTAATTAGTCAGGAAACATGTCAGGGCAGAGTAAAAAAAAAAAAAAAGGGGTGGAGGGGAATCAGAAGTTTGGTTATGTTTATCAATTTGTATAAAGAAATAGCAAAAGATGATCCATCCAAAGGTCATAAATGTATTTCTATTATATGAAACACTTCAGGAATAAGATATCATGGAGATAAAGATACATAGCTGTAATATAGACTAATTAGAGATAAAGACTTCTTCATGCTTCAGTATCTCATCCAGTGGAGTTCTTCAAATGACATAACTTTTTTAATCTGATTTTTGAAAACAAATGTAAGAACATTTCACTGCAACAAGTTTTTGCACATAAATTCAGTCTGATGTTAGTTTGACTAGATCTGTCTCAAAAGATTTTTGATTGCAGCAGATAAATAATGTGCTCTATATACTTGTTGTCAGGTTTAGATTAACTATACTGAGGAGTCTTTTGTCTGACTGCTCTCTGGTGGGTTATGACACCAAATATAGAATTCAGTGGACATTCCACAGCCTAACAGGTTTCCTGGTTAGAGATCAATAATACTTTCAAAGCTATCACCAACTTCCTTATAATATCTCTTCTCTTTTATTGTTGATTACGTAGCAGTTACATGCAATTTTAGTGGTGTCAGGGGTCCTTGGCTCCTTCCCTTTCTGACAAACTTGTTTTGTACTTGCAACTAAAAGCCAGAATGTTCTCATTCCTTTTCTTATATTATTCTGGAAATGAAAAATGGAAATGTGCTTATGTTGCTTTTTCTGTGTATGTCTGCAGTTTTTGACCAACAGACCTACTTGGCCTTCCTGTGGATCCTAGAAGTTGTGGAAAGAAAGTTCATGACTAATTTAAGTTTCGTCTGAGAAAGATTTCAGTAGGGTGTTCCTTTGAACATCATCACTGTGATCAAGGTACTACCACCTTCAAAGGAATAGATATTGATAGCAAATGATGACCTGTGTATCTAGGGACAAGAAGCGAGGATCATACTAGATTTATCCTATAAAATTATTTTCAACCAGACAAAGTAAGACAGTAGTGTGCATGAATTGACAAGAGACGTCTGCATGGTTTTGGAAACACAATAAATATAGATGTTAGGCATATACTTAGTTGACAAAGTTTTATCAAATGCATCACACAGAGTAAGAGTTGGGAATAGATTATTTGCATGATCAAACATTCCTTCAATTCTAGATTCCTATTCAAGATTAAGTTTTATTTGGTATAACGATCTTAAGTATTTCCGTTAGCAGTGTGAGTATTGACAAGAGCTACCCTGAAAGATTTTTTAGTAGTTTTCCTCTACCTTGTGAAACATGACTAGAGTTCATAGGACTTTATCATACAAGGTAAAACACAACCATGTAAATACAAGTTGCAGCTATGCCTTACAGATATGAATAGTGGGTGTCACGATCATTTAAAACAGTGCTGCAGGTTGTGGATTATGTCTTCTGAATACATGCCATCACATGTACTTTTTCCTAACTTACGTAACTCATATCCAAGCAGACAAACTTCTTGGAGCTGACTTCAACATGGTACTCCCATAAGATATTAAGATGATCAGTATGTGAGCACTGACAATTTTGTGGCAATAGCCAAGCACCAATAGCTGACGTGCATGTCTGTTTTGATTCATTTTATGCCTAAATACGGGGCTGTGCCTTTCAACTGGAATATTTCAGTTGTACAATAGCAATTTTTGAGCTATATATAATACCACGTAGTTGGGAACACTGACAAAGAGTATTATAAACCATCATTCTACATTATGGAAAAAATTACTTTCTTTTCTTTGAGGTTGTAAAATGATAGTAAGGGAAGAAAAATTTGTTTACACTCATAAATGAGCTATTACTGATTGCCTGCTGACTCTAAGCACTCTCAGCTTCTACAAGGCAGATGATTTTATGTACAGTCATGTAAATTATGAATATGTGTGTAGAGTGTTAAACTATGCCAACATATTGGGATAGAAATATGGATTAGAAACATTTTTTTCTGACTTAACACACTACTCTTTGCCAGTGATGAACCCATCTGGGCATGCACTGATGGGCAGTTATGCTATTCTATTGCTGGTGGGTAAGTAACATAATACTTCACTAAAAACTCTTCAAACTCTATTGTCCTATTGTTAAGGACTAACCAGGTACTTTCGGAAGGTATTCTATCCCAGCCTTCTGTCACTAATCCCACTTCCCAGAAAGCCATTTCCCAGAATGATGGATGATCCAGGACACATGAATGGCACAGAATGAAAGTGATTATTCCACGTGTTAGTGCCAGATGGCAAGATGGAGAGAATTTTCAGCATATATTTTACTGCAATAACAAAAAAAAATAATGGACATGAAAGGCTAAGAATTAAGATATGCCAATAGCTCACCAAGGAGATTAAGGTTGTAGTTATAAAAAGTATGTGAAGCAACTTCATAGGGTAGAAATTACTATTAACTGAACAGAAAGCTTTGGTTTATGTGGTGGCTATTATAATTATCATCTGTGGACAATGTCATTCTACAGGAGCAGAAGAAAATAAGCTGTGTGACTGGAAGGCTTTGTGCCATCATAAATGGCTGGCATGTGTAATGATGACAGTTTATGTAGTTTTTACTGTGACAGCAAGTAAGTAGCACTGTGCTACTTAAGTAGCATGCACATCCAAGTACAGAAAATTGTCTTTACATGCTAGCTTACATCAGCATTCCTTCATTTATGTCTTCTTTATAGTGTGGGCAGACTGGAGCAGTACTTAAGGCTATCTCCACAGGGCAAACATACTTTATGTACACCTTCCACATATCTCAAATACATAATAGGTAGCTGCAACCGTAAATGTTAATAAATTGATTATAATTTGTAGATGATATACTAAAGCTTATATATACTGGAAAACAAGACCTGTTTATGATGGATGTTATTTAATGCTGTCCACGTGCTGCTTTGAAATACATTTTAATTTTAGGAACAGATGCTTGCTGTGGTCACATACTGATGATCCTTCAAAATACGATCTCCTGATTATCTCTAGGCTTTCCTAGTTACATATACACATCAAACAATGCCACATCATACAGAATCTATGCTGCCTAACATTAGAAGCTACCTTACACCAAGCATCAAATGGAGCCAATATGCAACAAGTGATGGTATGCTTTTGATGCTTACCAGACATTTTCAGCATCGATGACACTGATGACAATGTCTTCTCTATCAGCTTCTGACATCTCAGATGGCAAGTCACAAGAATGGGTTAGACAGATTTGACTCACACATTACATTTTTTCATGAGACCAGTGGCAAACGTTGATATACATGCATACATCAGAGATTCATTTTATGAGCATATGGTTCATTACACCTGATTTTGTAACTGACATATGTTTAAATGGTCTTATCTTATGTGAACCACTCTGTTTGTCTGCAGACTGTGTAGTTCATGCTAAGGAAGTACACCTAACATTAAAGTGCTGGTGTATCAGTCATGGCTATACCATTCTATTCAATAACAGGTTATCTGTTCCTCAGCTCCCATGCAATATTATTTGATTTACAGCATAGCTGAACACCAAAGCAGCCAGTGACATTTGTTCCCTCCACCACTGATAATAATGATTTTCCATGTGGTTCATAGAGTTGCAGTCATCTGTTTACACTTCTGGAAACAGAGCTGTCCAAAGACAGTCTTGATAACAATAAAAGGTGACAGGGACCAATTGTTCTGTAATGGCTGCTTCACATCTCCTACTGCCATGGTGTACGGCTTCCTCCAACTCTGCAATTGGTGATAAAACTTAGGCCATATCGTAAGAAGATACGGGAGCCAGGACAGAGAAAACCCCTGTAGTCATATCCTTGCTCCTTGGCCCAGTCATCTTGTGCTATCTCCAATTTAGGCTGCTAATGGTGTGGTAGCTTGCATTTCTGCTTTCTTAAAAATGCAGTGCCTGGAACATTCACTGTTCAGTTTGCTACGTGTCTTTTTTAAGGTTTGTCCTAGTGATGGTTCAAATGCAAAAAACTATAGGAATAGGAATGTAATGTTTCCATTGCTTATAGGCAGACCTACTTTCTATTCTATGCACTTTTTTCTAACCAACAAGCTAGAATTGGATTCTGTATAATTTGGTACCAAAAGCTACATTTCACTGACATTAAGATTGTGAAGTAAGACCCCCCCAAAAGTTTGAAAAGTCAAAAATTTTAAGCCTTACACTCTGTTCTTAACCCATAGTGCTAATGGCACAGGATTCTTGACCAAACAACTGGACAGGTAAAATACACTTCTAAGAAAAGGTGTAAGTCTGCCCCTTACGTTTGAATTTATTAGCTTCTGTTATTTTCATTCACAAAATTTGCCTTAAAAAAAGCTTTTTCTTTAATTATCCCCTCCCTTTGCCCCACTTTGAAAGAAGAAAAAGAACAAAAGTTCATAGGAAGATATAAAATATGTATTACATTTATTCAGGAGACTTGAAAGGGCTCCTTTGGAGCCATTTGAGTCTCTCCATCCCAGCCTATCCAGTAAATATACAGTTACATAGTATTTTAAATGTATTTTTTGATAAAAATTAATTTTTGTCTACAGTCAATAACCTTTTCATAGGTTTATACATTAAAAGACCAGAGGCAACACTGCCATCATCTACTCTGGCCTCCTGCATCGTACAGATCATAGTACTCTGAAGATACACGACCCTGTATAGTCAGCTTGATAGACTGTAACTGATTAGCACAATGCATATTCAGTTTTGTATTGTTCCACAGTACAGATCATGACAATAGCAATATGGAAATGTTTATTAAAAACTTTATGAAAAAAGTTACGGCACATGAGCAGGAACCCAGATTGCAGAACTGAAAACATTTTTGTTTTTTCTTAATTCTCATAATTGTAGGCCCTGGTAGAAAAACAACCATTCAAAAAACAACATCATCTTAAAACTTTTACTCGTTTGAGTTCAAAACTAGATCAGGCAACATCACTTATTTACTTTGAACTTCTATACTTTGAAACTAGCCAGTATGTATTTGGGAATTACAATAAACACAATTGGTCCTACATCTTTTACTTAAAGCAAACCTTTACGACTGTGTTATAACCTACTGAAAATAGGAGTATGTAATAGAAATGCTGACACAATCTCGCTCTGCATGACATAAACATGGCAATATAATAATATTTTTTCTCCCTCTCTCTGTATATAATATATATGCACTTTTAAGTAAAAGAAAATAGATTAAACAATCAACTTATCATGTATTCATGTATCTATGATGTACCATATACCAAGCACTAGACTTATCACACTTACCTTCCTGCATAATTAAAGTTAAATTCTCCAAATACAAACATTTTTGTTACCTTATCAAAGAACAACAGTCAACATGCTCAGCACTTCATTACTGTTAGGGAAACAGTTGCACAAAAAGTTAAAGCTGCCATAAAAGAGATTTCAAAATTTAAGTGAAATTTTCAAGTGAATAAAAAAACAGATGAGATGCTCTTCTAACTTAAAGATAATATAAAATAATTCCTCCTATTGTAGAGGAAAATCAAATGCAGAACAAGTAGTGCTGTTAGTATTTTCCACCAACTATCCAAGGGACAAAATTGGAATGGCAACATGAATCATTTTGTTCCATCTGTATCAGAATGTAAGTTAAAGTAGTTTGTTGACAATAAAAATCTCTCCATGGATTAAAATATGCATGTGTGTGTATGTGTGCATTTGTAAGTATACAAACACACACACACACATTTTAATATATATGACAAACAGGCATAGAATTCCGAATTCACCAAATGAGCTGATTTGTAGTAAATATCCTAGGTTACTTAACTGTCAATTAACCTATATTTTCAGCAACAATTGAATTGAATTTACTAAATAATGCTATGGGCTGATACTGGTGCACCTCTAACCTACAGTATGCAGTACCTCTACAAAACATTTCCAAAATGCCATCTGCATTGCATATTTGTTGTAAAACTATATCTTTTTCTAATCTTCATTTTTGTTAGCCGTACATATGTATATCTGTTTATGCTCTAAGAAATCTTTGCAATGCTTTATAGCATGCCACATATGTTCATAAAACAAGTCCTCAAATGAATATAAAATCATGTAATTGAACAAAAAGGCATACTATTTTTCATGCTATGCTCAATACAAATATAAATTCAAGGCAGTCAAGCTATCCATTACCAAAATAATAATAACCATAATATATATGCATATATACCTACACTCTCTAAAAAGTGATCCAGTTACGTGGATTAAGAAACCAGTAAGAAATTGGTTGAATGTAGTATAAAAGTCTCATTTTACATAAAAGCCAATAAAGGCCATTTCAAGTATTTTAATACTTTCCTATAACCTTTTCATTAATAACTAGCTATTTGTAGAAATGATAATTTTATACTGAAAATTGTATTCAAGTTAAATAAAAATTAACTTCTACTGTAGTTCATTTTTAGAGTGTGCATGTATACATAGCAAAATGTCCTTCTACAGATCTATCATAAATATTTTAATTTATGTCAGTTCTTTTCTATGAAAACACTTGAACTTTTTTTCACGAATTTTAGATAACGTATATTAGGCCTTTTAAGAAATAAAATTCATCTTAGTTCATTCACAACACCAGATTCCCTTCAGGTTGTGCCAGTTTGAAAGTTAAAGGTCAAAGATCAAAGACATAGGACAGTACACTTTAAGGAAATTCAGACAGTGAAGCTATTCACAGAAGACAATGTTTAACTTGGTAATGACAGTCAACAGGTCAATAATCAAGTTCAAGGCAAGCTGTTCATTGTTGCAAAAGCTACTCCCCTCAAATCCTGGCTTTCATAAAAAACCAGGTGTCTTGACTTTTGGGGTGCATCATTCTGACCATCTTTAATAAGTTCACAGCCCAGTGACTGTAAAGCCTATCACTGCAAGAAGCAGCTCCTAAAATCAATAAAGAGGTCTGTCAGTTGCTGACTTTTCTCTAGGAAAAAAATATTGATACAAACCTGCTCTGCAGGTCACATGAAAATGACAATACTGCTGATAGCACAAATTACACAGAATGACAAAATGCTTTGGTGGTCCCTTGGCTCTGTCAGTGATACCGTGTCTGGCTGAAGGCCAGAAATTTGACTAACCCTTTGAGAACTACAATGAACATGCAAAGGGGTAACACACCAGAGGACACTCATGCAATATCAGAGTCATTGTTTTAGCTTTCCTTTGAAACTGGACCTTTGCCTCTGCAGAGGCAAATTGAATTATCATGCAACATAGTTTAAAAGAGAAATTCAAGATGCTTAAGATAAAAGGCTAAGCTATAAAACTGTCGCCAGTTCAGAAAGACTCTTGGTAAGTGGTAGAAGTTATTAAAATAGGTTTGGTTCCTCTAACCAGAAAGTAGCTGGTAAATATATTTTGTTTTTTATTTATGTTACAAATGCCTTTCTATCAACAATGCAAATAATTAAAAACACTCACTTGCAGTCACAGGAAACCTGTTTTGAAAAACTGATTTTTTTAAAAAACCTGTATTTCCTAAACACAATCCTATAATTTAATGACAACCAAGATTAACATCCACCAGACTCTGAAAACGGATGCAATAGTTCTCAAAGGGTTACACCACCAATGTAATACCAGTGTCGAGTTTCTCTATAGCATGACTGTTGCTTTAGTTCATTGAAATCCACTTCAGAGACACACTGCTTTTTACCATGCTTTGGAATGAGTGCTCCTGACAGACCTATGCAAGGCCTGGGGGAGTTGGCTTGGTACAGCTTGGGAAAGATTATGCAGGAAAACCAACCAAAAATCAAACAAACCAATAAAAATGTTCTGCTTGAATACAGTAATGTATATAAATGAGTTTAAAACATTGAGGACGTAGCCCAGAGCAGCTGTAAAAAACACAAAATGAATGTATTATTAAGGCTGTTACTATATTGCAGATATTTTGGCCCCTTGTTTGTTGGAAAATGGCTGTCCGAACAGTCTGAAGTCCTGCGTGTCATCCGAGTCTCCCACCTGACAAAACTGGAAGTAGGAGTATAGGACTTTATCCGTAGCAGACAGAAAGCAATCCTCTTTGGAGACAAAGCTGTTTTGGGTCTTCTCACTTTCCTGAAAGTTCCGTTGCGGGTTGTTGTGTTTTTCTAAAAAAATTTACTTTCAGCAAAAAATTTTTCAAAGGGGAACAGGCCTTAAGGGAAAAATGTAGAAACATTGAAGATTTTTTTTTTTTCCTCTTTGTTAGTTAATCCTGACAGTTTATAGGGCATTGAGCGTGCAGAGGAAAGGCCTAGAATCGAATGACAAAGAAAGACAAAGGACTGAAGAAACAGCAGATACTGTGTATCATGGAAGCTTCCCAGCTGAGCGAATCGCCACTCGTGCAGGACAGGCAACCCCATGGGTTTTAAAGATCAGCTTTGTTTCAGACTGACAGATGCCCGCTCCTAGCTAGGAAACCGCATAACAGCTCTTGTGTTGAATCTCAAGTTACCACAAACTCCTGGGAGGGAAAGAAAAAAACCAAAACCCTACATCACACCCACTCTTGCATAGAGCGTTTGCAGTACAGTATGTGGCGAGGTGTTCCTTTCCTTTTGAATTGGAACACAGTGTAAACCAAGACAAGGAGGCACAAGGCCAGGATGCAGGGAATGACGATGGCTATGGCTTTCACAGTGCTGGCTGTGTTGTCCAGTTTGATGACAATGTCAACGTCATCTTGAGGGCTGTGTCGGTCTTTATCTCGATCTGTTGGTCCATCACAACCCATAAAATCCTTGAGGATGGATCTGGGATAGCCAGATTCCACCCTGAGCATCTGGTTATTGAATTTCCAGTACTCTTTTCCTTTGTAGAAATATGTGAAGCCTGAGGAAGAAAATTGCAATTATTCATGGTCATAACAGATCAAATCATGCCATCAACACACCATGATCAAAACTATCAGTATCAAATTATTTTGTAATTAAAAAAATTAGGAAGGTATATGAAATAGATTTCAGTTACAAGTCTTTCAAACTGGGGTGTTTTTTTTTTAATTCAATAAATGGATTTTATATTCTTCCATTGCTACAAAAAAAAAAAAAAAAATGGAATTCCAGAGAATACGATCTTTGACAGATTAAAGTTCTGCTGATTTGTTCATTCACTGAAAATCTGACCAGAGTTGGAATCATCAGGGTCAGGACTTTAAAGCATCACCATCTCTTCAAGATGGGAAGTCTACTGAAACAAATTGCAATGCTACGCTAGCCAAAAATGGGAACTGACACTCTTTAATGTCACATAGCCTACCACTGAACTTCAGAAGAAGGAAACCGGATGAAATAACAGCAGCTTTGCCAAGAGAAAAGAGGTGTAACCAGATTTAAGTTTTCTGCAAAGAGTTGGTATTTGATCATTCAGGTGTAACCCAACATTATTACTAAACATGTCTAAATGGAAAAAAAACCCACAACAAAACTTGACTCCTTGCCAATAATCTACATTAATTCATTATCTCAACTGGAAAATGGCACTGCTCTGGCAAGAAACAAACCTTCGGGATGGGTGAATTTCCTCCTACTGTTTATGAACTGAATACAAACAGCTGGATTTTTCCTTATCTTCACTTTATAGATCTCAGCTTAGTTCCTGCAGTATGAAAGGCCACTAAGAATACTAAGATTGTTGTTTTAACAATACTTCCTGAAATGATTGGTAACTGGCTATCTAGAGATAATATAAGTAATCATCTATTCAAACAGCAGTAAGTACCTTTCAATTAAAAAAAAAAAACAACAACCTGACTTGAGAGTATATTTTGCAGCTAAAACTGCAAAAAAATCATCATCTACTTCCGCTTTTCAGAATTTTTAGAATATTTAAGCATTCTTCTATATTAACTGTGTAATTTTAACGACCTTTCTAGCCACTGTAAAGGTGCTATTTTCCTTTCCTTAATCCCTTGGAGTCTTATTATCTGAGAACATGGCAGTGTATCTATAGAAAGGTATAATACTGGTTAAAAAGACAAAAGAAAAGAAAAGCACTGAGCTATATGAAAATGGTAGTTAGAAAGCTTGTTCATAAAATGCCTTTTATTCTGATTAGAACAAAACAAAAAAGAGGACTGTAATTCTTTAAATAAAATTTTAGCATATATAAAGTTCCTTAAAACAATTTGTAGTTTAAACAAAAAATATTATCAAATGCAAAATCTCAGTATTTTGAGCCACAAGTTGCTTTATCTTTGCATTTCATATAACTACGTGTCTGCGGCCCTGGATGAATATTTCAAGTGTGAAAATTTGAAATATTATCTCTATAAATATTCTAATACATATCTAGAAACCATATGCAGATATGACATCTCTAAATCTATTTTCTTACATATATATATAGAATACATAGATGTATACATCAGGAGGTGTATACATAAGTCAGAATACTGACATTAGTTAGTATTAATTGTTACTATACATTGAATATCAAATTAAAACTGTTAAAATCAAAGCAGCAAAAGATTCATTAGCCTCTATAGATCCAGTAAAAATTCTTCAATCAGAGCACATTTTCCACTGGAAAACTCTGAAAGTAGTTTACACTTTTCTGTCATTTTGCTGAAGCAAGCACCAGGATAACAGTAACAGCTGAAGGATGGAAGTTACCAGCAGAGAAGGGTAGTTGTAAGAGACTGAGGGGTTTTATTGCTTCTTGTGGCAGAATAAGTGACTTCATACAACTGTTAAAAGTGATTTCATCTAATCTGCTTGACTTGTTTAGCCTGCTTTGGGAGCTGCTCCCCACAATCTTCCAGGTGCTAGTCGCTGAGAGTAGTGAGCTCAATGCCTGATCCAAACAGCATGGAAGGGCTTAGCAGTTACTAATGTGTCAAACAGAAACTCAAATTAGGATTGTTGGTGAGCACAAGATAAAAAAAACCTCGATGGGCTAATAAATTAACCAGCGTTTCTTTTTTTTTTTCTCTCTAAAAATTGCCCCACCATTCACTTCAGCAGAATTTCTAGTTGGGAGGTGAAATTTCCTATGCTGCTCTCAAGGCAGAAAGAAAGATTTTTCCAATCTCGAGAACTTTGTCTCAGATTCCATGGAGCAACAGAAAGGAAATTTCTTTACCTCCTCCTAAGAGTTTCTACCAAAGCGTAGAATCTGGTTTGGTTTCTACCAAATGACAATATAGAGAGTAGCAGTGAGAGTTTCAAAGATGTTACCTGTACCTTACCAAGCTTCTAGGACACTGAGTCAGGATTACGACTAGAGTAGGAAATTATTTTTTTCTCATCTTTCCCAAGCCTCTTACTGCAAGATTTCCCAATTTTTTTTGTGGACAGTGAAGGAAATCTCTTTATGATCAGACTTATTGCAGGTGTTCATTTACGTGGTTTACACAATAGAAAAGCAAGGGAAGGAAAAAAGTATTCTTTAAAACTAAATGGATTAACTGGAAGACATGCTTTCAGATGTTCCCTTACAGAGTTACATAGTAAAACTTTCTTGTCAACTCTGCTTCTGCGCAAAGAAAGGAAAATAGGTTCAGGCAAAACGTAATCAACTTCTTTCCAACTAAGCTGTGGTACTTATCTGCATCTGCTTTTGTTTTTCTCTCCTCATACAAAAAACAGTGGAGTTGTGAATTGTTTCTTAAGACATCTATTTTCTTGATTTCAGGGAAAATGTCTTAGCAGTCTTCTTGGGATCTTTATGGTGCCACTTTTAGTCCCTATTTATGCGCTGGGGCCCTTTTGGGCTTTCTGAGAAGTCCAAGAATGCCCTCTTTTCCTTACCCTCCTCCACAATCTCATGTCACGTTTTACTGCCCTCCTCATTCAAGGAGTCAGACAGACTATCAAAGCCACTGGGGTAAAAAAGAGAAGTGGTTTTGATGTAACCAAGAGTCTTTCCCACCTTAGGAATGAGTGTTCTGCCTCTGCAGTACTTTCAAACCCACCAGTCTGCGTGTTACAGTAAGATAATTTGCATTTGTAATGAAAGACACATGTACCTGAGCTCAGTACAGAAAACTTATTATGGGGAATGCAATCAAGATAAGAAAAAAACCCAAACTTGTACATACATACATACATACATACATACATATGTTAAAATCCTTTTAGATGTAAATCTTTAAGCATACACTTAATAAAGTAATGAAGGGAAGAAAGCAGAGGTTCTATTTATTATGTTTGTCTCTGTATACATAATGTTTGTGTCCATTTCCACATATATGTGTATTTACAAACAGTTATTGAGTGTGATGTATGCAGAACATCCGCTTGACTGACTTACTTTCCAGTTAAAAACAAAACAAAACAAGTAAAAACATCACAAAAGTCCAGTCTAGCCAAAAGGCCAGGATCCAGAGAGTGTTTCTGCTTCTGGACAAAATAGAGACAAAGCAAGGAAGTAATTAAACATATTTCTCAAACATTTCAATGGTAAATTACTTAATCGAGTTAGAGGTTGAAAGAGGAGAGTGAAATGTTTTATACAAGGAAAGAAACCTTTTAATCTGTTTATTCGAAGAAAATTAAAATAATATGGCAATATATATGTGTGCTGTCTGTGAGGCAAACAGAATAAACTCAGAACCTACTAATAAATAAGTCATAAATGCTATACAACAATTCTCCAACAATGATAAGTGATGACAAATGCATATTTTTATTCCCATCAAAGGGATCTAAACTCTGTGCAACTGAGGGCTCCGTTGGCAGCCTGCCAGCAGCCCCTGAGTAGCACCGAATTCTCATAAGACAGAGGAGATTTTGGCTGCTCTCATTCATTTGGAGGTGTGGACAGCTGAGATTCTTGGTTCCTGTATGTGATGATGCATCCTGATACAGGTAATAGCACTTCATTCTAACATCCCCGTGATGTGCATTTCTGCATCAAGGGCTTATGACATCTTTGATTTACATAGATTCTTGGGGATATTTCTGCTTAAAGATTTTGCTTCCCTTTTCTAGTTGTTCATAATGTAAGTAATATCCTTTGAGCACTGATAACACCGATAATTCAAATAGGATATACTGTGTTTAGGAAGCTTGTTTCAAGAGGTACTATAATACAGTAGAGAATGAAAATAATTTTGTAAATTAAGACACAAGGAAAAAAACGATGGAAACTAAGGTTTATCATACAAAATTTGAAAGAAAGATTTTTCTCCATTGTGTTATATGGTACATGCAAATAAACAGCCATTTTCAGAATAGCAAGTTCTATAGCAGGAAATATTCTTTCACTACTTAACCTATACAGTCAATCACCCTTCTACTACTCTATCTTACATAAACGATGCTAGTGAATCATTAAAACAGGAATGTGTTTGCATACCATTTTCTTTGTGGACAAAGGCTCCCTGAGGAGATTCTGGGATACCTTTCCAAATGGTGATTGGTTTGGGATAACCAGGATCCATGGATCTCATTTCTTCACTGTACCTCCAGTATCTGAAATTTTTTTTAAAGGAAAAAAAAAAGCCAAAACATTTATAAGATAGCAGATGAGTAACTATACTTTTTTTTTTTCCCTTCTAACATTTGCTACATTCATTAGCTACAAATGGGAATACTCGACTTCTTTTCTTTGAACATACTACCAGATTACAAAGAAATGTATTTTCTGTTTGGGCAACAGTTTCATGTAAGCAAAAAGAAGATAAAAAGATTTTTGCAGTTTGACAATTAAAGTTAGCATGCATCTCACTTATAATCGCAGCAATTCTGATGCCTAGGACTTCTGCACAGTGACACAGAGAGTTGCAACATATACAAAAAAGATAAGCTAATGTTTTAGATAACAATTTAATCACAAAAATGACAGCAGATTCAGATTAAAATACTCCCAAAAATCTTAAGTCCTTATATGTATGCATTACAGTACCTTTCATTACATTAAATGAATACAGTGTAACACAAAATTCAACCTACTTTCATGCCTTTTTGCCAGCCAGACCTTCTCCAATTTAAAAAGCTTCAGCATGCAAATTCTAGGCAACTGGAACATGTAAGAGGTATTTACACTTGTGATTTTATTTACACTTAAAGATAATGTTGATGATTTCTTTGTCCTTACGAAGCTGGCTAAATTGCTATGCATATCTTATTATAAGCTGGTTCTAAGAATTAACATACTGTATGTCTAGTATTTCTGTATATCCTGATATAATATTTGGGTGGGTCATTCCATATTTTGACTGACTCTCTGAATTTAGAGCATACCAGTTTAGCACATAGTTTTGCTGGAGAATATTTTTTTTTCTCAAAATCAGTTTTATTCATGTGAAAAATTACATTAAAAGGCAGTCACCATTTAAGGACATCAAGATCCTGAGAATATATCACTTTCATTGATAATCTGGTCACTGCTAAAAACCTGACCCTTTTTTTCTATTTTGAATTCATTTGACTTCAGTTTTTAGAAATCCTTGTTATGATCATTCCTGATATATTAAAGAGTCCTTAAGTGAATAATATTTTGTCCCTGCAAAGGTACTTAGATGCTCTAATCAGTTCACATCTTAATCTTTTTAAAAAATAAAATAGTCTAAATTCCTCTATATTTCTCCCTGCAGGGCATTTCTCTGGCTCTAAACTTTCAAAGAAATTAAAAGGTGACAGATTTCAAGTGGGTTAAGGGTTGGCAAGTTATATTAAAAAACATTTGTATTTTTTTTCTTACGCAAAATTTATTTTTATAGCCTGATTTCTTAATCTAGTCACATATGCATCAGTAACCAGACAACAAAGTGATGCTCTTTATTTTGAAATGTAACATCTTTAAGATTTTACATGGAGAAAGAAACAATATGTAGAAATAGTAAACAAAGCTCTGACATCAATACTATTGTAACCAATTCTTGCTCATCTTTTGACTTTGTGTTTCTTCATCCTTAGTTTGCATTTACTGTTTTCACATTTACTTGTTCTCTCTTTCTCTCTGTTTCTTTATTCTCACTCTTTGTTGAGCTTAATATTCTATTATCTAATCTCCATTTTTATCTGCATTTTTTCTTCTTTATCAGCTATCTTACCTTTTCCTCTGTTCCTCTTTCCCAGAACATTATTTCCTTCCTGCATATTTCGACTCATTTTCCTCTTTTCTCTTCCAACCTTTTCACCTTTTTGAGCTCCTTCTTTTAATAACCTCTGCATTTTTCCACTAGGCTGTGTGATGGAAATAGATAGTCCTATAGGACTTTCAAAAATATACACTGTCAGTAGAAAAACAGTCTTTGAGGACACACTCAGTGTACACTCAAAAGTCTTAAAGCTGTTGTTTTTTCAGCATTGATGAGAAATCCTATGAGTGAAGGACTGATCATGATACTATCGATCTTGGCAGTCTGTGCTGGAATAATGATCATGTCTACAGGGTAAGGAAAAGCCTGGTCCTGATTCTCCTTGGCATGCCACATGTTCACAAGCAGATTAACCAATGATGATTTGAGCTTTACAAACTATATATATTGTGTTACTGTATCTCAAAGACTGATAAAGTAACAGGGAGAAAATAAATGAAAGTGCACTTCATGGCCTTAGAAAAAGGGAATTTTGAAAATATTTGCTAAAACATATTTTTTCCACTACGTAATCTTATTTACTTAATGATATTCTGGACTATTGGATGACTAATTTTTATGAAGGAAAAAATATTAATTTAAACTATAAAGTACAAAAGTCAGTCACACCAGACAGGGGCATAAACAAGGCCATGTGTCAAGAAGTGCAGTAAACCTGTTATCATCTTGTCCTACGCTACTCAATTCTGGTAGGAGAAGAATGAGACAGGGCAAAATGTTTTCTGTAGTCATCTTTTGTCTCCTCTATAGCTTTCATACAATTATTTGGAAGAATTATCTTTAGTGTTTAAATGGATCATTTCAAATATTAATAATAATGATTCATACATAAATTGCTTTAGACATACGAGTATTAAAATGTAAGTTAATATTTGGACTTTTAAATCTTCTTACTGTTTTGTCTGTTTTTTATTTTTTTCTTTTCATTTTATAGTCAATATTTGATGCTTTCTATTCTATTGCTCTAACATTTTTATGTATACCACTGTTCTGGGACATTTAACTCTGTCTAGATTCTGCCCCGGAGCTCCTTAACTACAGATTACTGTCAAAACAAAATAAATATACAGAGCCTTCAGTTACATAAGGAGAAACGTATTTTGTTATTTTGATGCACACATAACTTTTTAGTTCCCTTCATTCTAATCTCCTGTCACCGAGAAGCTACATTTATGTTCTATCTTCTTGAGGAAAAGATCCATCCCTATAGTAGACTTATATATATTACTAAATCCAGCAGGAGAATTTGACTCTAACTTTACATTAAGAAAAAATTGTGATATAAGCAATACACATTAAGAAGCTTAGTGAAATATGGGTTTATTCCCCCTGGTGGTCAATATCCTGTAATAGTTCAATTATCTCTGCAAGACTCATGTTGTTCAATCTTCTAACATACTGTATTGCATTTATATCCTGCTGAGTTTCGTGGTGCTTGTTAGCTCTAAGTAGCCACCTCTCTGTCAGCTGGTGTTTTCTCTGATAGTTATTTTTGTCTTCTGTTATTACCTCCAGTGTTTTAGGAAAGTCTTGACTATAAGTAACTGCCTGTTAATGGAAATATAAAAAGGACACTGCTGAATAAAGCCTAAAAGAAGTACAGGTCACATCAAATTCCTCCTGTATATACTTTCCCAGGAGTGTGGAGGTGGAAAATAATTACTTGAAAACGAACTTACTTTTAAAAAAAAAAAAAAAAAATCTACTCAACCATGAGAAGCAAACTATCTAGGTGGCTTTCTTCTTCACTGTGGAAAACGATTGTTTGAAACAATACCTAGTTTTCAAATACCACAAAAATTTTGCTACTTTCTACTTTCCTCATCATGAGTGTTGGAGAAAGTGTTTTTAAAAAAAACCTTTAACGATAAAATTGGTTGCTACAATCTGTAGTGTAATATTACGTACTGCTAAAAATGATGAACTGTAGTGTTTAACATATTCTATGATGTGCATTAAAATAATTTCTTAAGTGATCCATGAATACTACTAGTGTCCCAGAATCCTAAGTACCACACAGTAACAAAAGCAGTCATCATAATTTTAATAATGCTAATACAAATACTACAATTATTAATATATATTAATTTATCTCTTAGCACTCAGAATTTGCACAGCAATATATCAGTCGAAAAACACAGTAACATCCTGAAAACCTGTAAAATCCATCATTGAGATAACTTGCAGAGTCTCAAAAATTAAAAAGTTCTCTTGACATCTCTATAAAGTAGACAAATATTCTTTCCCTTATTTTTACAGACAGGGAAATGTAGACACAGAGACACTAAGTGACTAATGAAAGACTCTTTCAGGACTGGAAAATAACTCAGATTTTACTTTTTTTTCCTGCTCTTTATTAATCATAAAAATAAGTGTCCTTTCTGAAGGGAACTGTAAGATTTATTTTAAAGTAATTCCTAGGGAACTGCTCAAATTGTTCTTTAGCTTCCTGTCGTTTCCCTTTCTCATCTCATTTTTAAATAGTAGCAGAGAAGTCATTTTCACTGACCTTAAAAAGCTTTGGATCATGCCTCGCCTGTTTATGTGATAGGGTTTAGAAACATGGATAAAAAGGAGCAGGTAAGAGTGTCCATAACTACATTACTTCGAGTATTTAAGTTTAAATTCACCACAAGTGTGATTTGCCTGTTGATTTCTAAAACATCACTTTTCCACTGGATATACGTATATTCATTTCAGTATGTTCACACAAATATAATTCAGCTCATGAGAAACGTGAAAACAGTACGATCTTTCATGCAGAAGTTAATTTCATCCACAGAAAGTGGACTGTTTAAGTGGCTTGACTTCTTTTGGGAAATAAAGGAAAAGGATTAACATGCTTAGCTGATATCCACAAAAGTGCTTCCTTGCAGAATTCCTATACCAACCTATCTCCTTTGAAGAAGTAGGTTTTCCCAACATCTTCCCACCAAATTGCTGAATCAATGCCATGGGAAGGAATTCCACTTCCAAGTGTTATCAAATCATGAGGATAACCTGGCTGGAGAGTAGTGTCCTTGAAAACCCAGAACTTGTTACCTGTACGAAAGCATATATATACACATATACATACGTGTGTTAGTCTTCAGTGGTCTAAGTATAAATATTAATACACTCCTAAGAAATAAGACAGAATCCCGAAGGGCTACAGTGTTCTGCCAAACACAATGAAATGAAAAATGTTCTATCACTGCAGATAATGCAAAATTAAATATGTCTTACAGATATCTTGCATGTATAAAGCACCTTTCATTCAATAAGCCCACAGAATATTTTGTTACCAACTATATAGGTATCAAACCCAGAAAGAAAATGAAGTCATCTCAAGAGGCTCTGTGGTTGATAATGTAATACATTTACAGCAATACTACAAAACCAGTTTACATTTCATTACGAAAGAGTGAATTTTAAGACAGCAGGAGGTAGGGAAACACATAAATAAATAAAAACCAGAAATTCCTATTCTCATAGAGACCATATAGTTTTATTACTCTCTACTCTCCTTCTCAAGAAGTTATATTACTTATGAGGGATGTACAGACTATTTCTGAAATGACCATAGAATTTAAAATATAATTTTTAAATCACATTTTCTTTAGTGTGGTCTAAAGACAGCAAATTGAGGTTCTGAAGTCCCACAGGTGAAAACCTTGTGTTTCTGAAATTAACGGCAGGTTGCCTTTAGTAGCAGTGGCAGTAAGATTTAGCATTTGGTTGTGGGTGACAAATCATTCAAAATCACTCAATTGACTTACTACATGCTGATAATGCAAGGAAGTTGTATGACTCTAGGTGGTGTTAGCATAGTGTCTACACAAACCTCAGGTTACTTGAACTGTCTTAAAAATTATTAATAGCCTACTGCCTCCTGGACAGCAGTGCTCAGTGATTGAACCCCTACTGTTGTAGTTACTACCTAAATATACTATATATAGGGATATGTATGTCTACAGAAGCAGCAGTTGCAACAGTATTTTGCAGTATAACCCCTCCTGTGCCAGTTTTTGGAGGGGATGCTTCCTGCGCTCTCTCTTCTAACTGGATAGCTTACCTCACCAGCCCACAACTCCAGTTTCCCAGCTTCCTAGCCAAGCTCTTCCTCCTCGCTGAACACTTCCATGATTATCTCACCTAGTTCATCACCTCATGTCAAGCCTTTAGTCTAACACTTTCCCCAATAATTGTGTTGTCCTCCAAACTTTTTACTAGGGTCTTCTCAATACAACGTGCCTCCTGACCTATCCTTGCAACTATCTTCTTTTTATGTTTTTTTTTTTCTTCTATTTCTTCTTCAAAATACACTTCTTACCTGTGTACCTGTGTCTTTTCAGTAAAGATTTCTCTTTCAAACACAGACATTTTTGGCTGAAAAAAGGGAATAAAGATCCTCATGTGTCCCTAGAAATAGGGGAAAGGGAGCATAATTTGCATTTTAGTACTTATCCAAAGAGCTGGCTTTGAGGCCTGTCCTCTCTTTGCATTATGTCATCTAGGCCATGGGAATGCTATTTCTGAGCTAGGCTATAGGCTCCATTGCGTAGGACCCATGTGTTTATTTTCTCTTCAAAGCACTACCTTCATCTGTGTTTCCAAAAAGCATTGCTATTGTTAGAAATATTAACACCGAAGGAGAAGATACTCTTTGACATCATGTAGACTCTTCTGAGTTACTTCACAGAAAGGTCTAGAGAAGATCCATGAATATATATATTGAACTAGCCTATTTGATACTTTGGTCTATCCATTGTTATTTATGATGATGATATTTAAAATACAAGGGGAAAAATTTGAAAATATATTTTGCTCAAACACATTTGGGAAGAGATCCTAAAAGATAAAACCATGGCAGTTGATATTAGCCATTATACCTACGCGTTAGATTAAGCAGGCTGTTGCACAGACTTAGGAGGTTAAGGCACTGTGCTGTATAAATATTTTATAAGGAAGTGTTATATTACCCCAATGATCTAGGACTAGGTGTATACTAGAGTCACAAAGAGGGAAAATCTGGAGAACAGTTTTGCATTTGATTTTATATTTTAGCTGCTCCTCAGTGGTATCAAATGTTTGTTTAAATGCAAGGGTTTCCCAATCTTCTCGTTTCCACTGTAGTGATTTAAAGCATGTTTTTATTTTATCACAGCTTTAATTAGGAGAGGGGATATAGTTTCAGTCCCTTTCATGCTGGGTTTCCAGAGTAAATTTTTTATCAGCTTCTTTACAGCTGCTTGTCACCCACTTCCAAGCACAGACGCCACAGTTTGCTCAACATATCCATCTTCTCCCCCCTGCCAGTTGAACGAAGAAAGGGTTCAAAAAATGAGTATGTACAGAGTCATTTGAAGTACTGAAAATAAAAGAGACACAGACATCTATGAAGAACAGTCATGGAAAGCTGAGGTCTGTGCCCATCTGGGATTAAGGTCTATGCTAACCTGACATTTACCTTTGCTGAGATTCCTTACAAAATTCACTTATAGGGTTTGATCATGACAGATGTGAGCTTCTTCAGTCATTCATTGTCCCTTCTCTCATGTTGTTTAATCCTTTTGCCAATTCACATGACTGGACACAGAAAGCTTCAGATGGTAATGGCAATTTGAAATGCAACGATAAGAGAAGTCATGCGTTTTGGACCTTACTAGTTGGTACTTATGGTGTGAACAACAGATGGCATCCAGTGAATGATACTGAGCCAGCTCATTTGTGTTTCAGAAGATCATTCAAAATGACAGCTGTTGCACAGCATTGAGAGGCATATGCTGTGATGTATGTAATGCCATTACCTTTCTCTGTGCCTCATAAGGAATTAAAGTAACAGCAATCATTAGGAATAGATCATTATTAGCCATGCCCAAGGAGTCAAATTTAGCTATTAACAAGATCACGTCATACCAAAATAAGCAAGGGTTGAGAACACACCATTGTAAGTGACAGCACCACGGAGCCAGGTATTCACTGCATATTCAGGTATACTGAAGAAGAAGGAAAATGTAGATGTGGGAACACAAGACTAAACTCTTCTTCACATAAAGAAACTAAACTCTTCTTCACATAATTTCTTACTAAGAAGCAAATTCTGAGTAAATAGAGAAAAGGTAAATTTAACTTTATTTTATGGAGACAGTAGAGCATTGAGAGCTCTAACACATGTGGACAAAACTATTGATTCTAAATAGAGGGAATTGTATTTAACATTTGCTTTGGAAGACATGTTTAGTCTGGTACAACTGTGCTGATGGTTAATGGGAAGGACTGTATATAAGAAATCCAAATGTTCCATCTGACAGTTTTCACTTCACTTTTTTTTTGTTTATTTGTTTCAGGGGTTCTTAAGTGATTTGTTGCTGGTTTTGTTGTGTTTTTTTCTGTTTAGCTTTTGTCCCTCAGCTGGAGGAAAGTGGGTGGCTGTTGATCAGAGAAATTGAATTTACCAAAAGTCAGAAAAAATGAGAAGGTTTCAGATTCAGAACCAAATATTAGGAGGAGTTAAAGCTGAAAATCAGTGCAAAAGATGTCTGACTGTGATGAGAATTAGCTCCTTTTATTTCTAACTTATATTTATGGGTCTTAAAATGTATTAAAAATGAATGCTTAAGTCATTATGCTTTCATTTAGGTCATATTCTACTTTCACTAGTAAACAGTCACTACGCTTCATTAATTGTGATTATAATGGAAATAAAGAACATACGACAAAACTAGAATAGTTATAGTTTGATCCTTCTTATAGATAAGTAATGCTTGTTGAGGGTCCTAGCCTATGCCCTTGGCAGAAATCACCACTGTATTTATTTTACAAAGTTGTTTTTTAAGATCTGGTTGGTGGGTTTGTTATTCTCACAGAGAATAAAGCACCACATGTTTCATGAAGCCTGGCCAACCTTCAGAATGTTTCATCTCTCTGCTTTTATTCCCTAATGTAAGATCTAATATTATAACAAGCAGAACGGTAAGGTCACAAGCTGAGAATGAAGCAAGTGATAAAAAAGTCAAAATGTCTTACTTTTTGCAATAATGCTTTGTTAAATATCATCACTGTAGGGAAACAATTGAGAAGGATGAACTGTGACTGCAATTATTTGAAGTCTCTCAACATCTATCTTTGACATTCTAAGAAAAATACTGGAAATAAAGGGCATCTGTATTGCTATGCTTCACTTAAAATATTGAATACTTAACTCCAGATATTCTTGACTATTTAACTACCTACTGACTACTGCAAACAATTACACAGTTTTTAGTAACTATAGTTCTTCCTTTGTACAATCAGAATGTTGAATAGTTGTGCTCCTATGCTGTCAGCAACCAAGTTTTTTGTTCATGTTATATGCAATTATGATATGCGTATAGTGCAAGACCTGTGTAGGACATAGCATGTAATCACTGTAAATGTTACAGCGATGAGACAAATTCTCAAAACTTTTAAGAACTATATTCGGTTGAAACCAGTTAAAATTTTAATATCTAATTCTGAAGGGGTTTTTTTCTCCAGTCACCTTTGCTCTTAATTTTGGTCTTTCAAGTCAGGATCGAGTGTCTTCTTACTAGTATCCCCAAATTCTTATTCATGCTTCCTTTTTTCTCATTCTCTATTTCCTACATTAAGTTTGTGTCATTTCTCTGCTCCATGATCTGACACTGTAGTAAATCTATTTTTCAAAATAAAACTGTCAAGCAGTAGGATAAGTGCAGTTGAAAGTTATGATGGTGGCACTGGTAGTATGTTTTACAGCAGCCTTTCTATTGCTACATTTGGTTTACCATAGCATTCAACAGCACAGATGGTTTGACAATTGCATTTTTAGCACCATATAAATTCCCACAGGTACACAGAATAAATTTTACTATTCACATTTCCTCATTTAAAAAAAAAAAAATAATTCTGGTGCCATCCTCTTATTATCATTCAGCATGGACATCAGCAGTGAATAATAACAAGAATGTAAACATCTGCTTTTTGTAAGCAGCCATCCACCAGATTGCTATGTACTGTATGAGCATTACGAGACACAAGGAGGCAGGCCAAATATCTTAAGC